ATTTGATTTATTTTTCTTTTCTTTTTGTCTTCACCTTTTGCTGCTCATTTGCTTTTTTAAACCCCCCGCGGCTCTTCGGTTTGCTGCTGCGCTGCTGCACCCGTGCCAGCTGCAGCTGCTGCTTCCAGCCACAATCTGCTGCTGCTGCGGGACTCTTGCTGCAGCACAAGGGCCCCCCTTGTGCTGCAGCACGAGGGCCCCGTTGTGCTGCAGCACAAGGGGGGCCCCCAAACACAAGACCCTTTAGAGTAGGGACCCCCAGGGTCCCCGGGGGCCCCCTGGGGCCCCCAGGGGCCCCCATGGGTCTCTAGGGGCCCCTGGGGGCCCCCCTGCTTCGAGTGCGGATATTAGGAGGGCCCTGTGCTGCACTCAGCAGCACTTGGAGGCATATAAAGGATGATATTATTGCATGAAGGATTGTTGCTGCTTTTTATTTTTTAAGATCTATTTGCGATATTTAGTTTTGCTGCTGTGACTGTGGCTGCCTGCAGCGCATCAGGTGAAGCAGCAGAACAGCAACACGGGCTGCTGCTTCTCTCTTGGCTATAAAATTGGGAAATGCACAAGAAAGAAAATCACTTACTGAAAGCCCAAGTGGACCAACAAGCATTTTATTAGTAAGAAAACAAAATAAAAGTGCTTTGTCGAGGCTCTAAAGACTCAGTTTAGTGAAAAGAAAAGGAAAATGAACTTGTCTTTCGAGGTACAGGTAAATTATTCCCAAGGTTCTTGCGCAGCAGCTACAGTAAGCAGCAGCAGCCGACCACCACTTGGCCGAAGAGCTGGGCAATTAGGCACTAATTAGACTGCTATATGAGTCTCTAGTGGTTAATAAAAGACAAAAATACCAATAAAAACCAACTATTTCACTGCGGTTGATACTGGAAACCCAGCAGCAGCAGCAGCAGCAGCAGCACAGCAGCCGCTGTCCAGCCCGCCTTCGCCGACTGCTGCATGCGAGGCGGCTGCAGCAGGAACTGCTTGTGTGTACCGTTTGCGGAGAGGGGAGTTGTAATTCCCTTTTTATATTTTGTTTTATTCTTTTCTTGTTTTCCTAATTCCTCTCGAGACGCCGAGTGCACGGAGAGCTGCGGCTCGGCGGAGCCTCTGCAAGGATGTTCACTACCAGGTACAAATGAGCAGCTTTACTCGTCTACCAAGAAAAATATTCTTAAATCTTTTAATTTTCATCCTTTTCTTATTTAAATTGCATTTAACAATGCAGATAGACGGCCAGAAGCCGGCTGGAATGGGCTGTGAGCGCCGAAACTGGCAATTCAGCTTCCACCTTCCTGTATCAAGGGGGCCTGGAGTTCACCAAGATATGCAGAAACAGAAGACTTAACTGCGCATTTTATTTGTGTTGTTTGACGGGCTTTCTGGTGCTTCTATTCAATTTGAATAAGAAGCAAAGCAAGCCGGTGCACTGACCCCAGTGTGAACTTGAATACCACTTGTTGCAGTTTCCTGAAGGAAAGCATGGAAACTTTGATGTTATTCTGTTGCGTCTGTGCTAATTAAATTAAATGGAATATTCATTTGCCTTTTTAAAATTCAAAAACCAATAAATATGTCTCCCATTGGCGCATTTTCGCACTGTTGTGGTGCGGGTCAAGCTCGCGTGCTGGTTTCGTCTCGCGCAGGTCTTTTGGCTTTTGTCTTTTAATAAACAAATTTTGGATTATTTATTTGCCAAAGTGCCTTTATGAATCTGTTGAGTCAATTTGTTTCAATTCAATTTCATTCACATCCACTTTGCTCATTCAAGTGCCACTCTGTTTCTCTCTTGTTCTCTCCTCGTTTGAACCAATCAGAGAAATTACTTGAAATTCTGTTTTCTCTTTTACAATTCTGTGTTCTATTTTTATTTTGTGAATATTTGCATGCTCTTTGGCGTTTATATTTATGTTTTATTCGTGTGCATCGCTGCAGCCGAAATGTGTGAACTGGAAAAGCATGTAATTGTTCGCTTTCAACAAATCAAGAGCAGGCGCAGGAAACTGAACAAATAAATGAACTGGCGCATGCATAAGCCAGTTAATTGGCTAAAAAGGATTGCATGCAACTTTATGGAATAAAAAATTCCAAAAATTCCACAAAGAGGCTCTGCTTTTCCATTTGTTCATGTTTGCAGGAGCGAGTATGACCGCGGCGTCAACACCTTCTCGCCTGAGGGCCGTTTGTTTCAGGTGAGTGGAACCTCCGGCTTATTTAAATTTAAATAACTTATTAATGCCTTTTAATTCCATTATGATGCATTTGAATTCCATTTATTTCGCGCTTCTACAAATATACCGCCGGCAAGCATGCCTGCGGATTATGCCGTGGCGCTGCAGCAGGTGCACGCGTGTTTCTGCTGCTGCTGCAGCTTCCATTCATGTTTGCAGCATTCATGTTTATTTCTGCGTGAATTGAACTGCCAATTTGCAGCCACTGCGTTTGCCTGCAAATATATATGAATCAGTGTTCAAAAATATAAACATTTATGCATATATGTGTGCATCTATACGTTCGTGTTTGCTGCATTCGTGTTTGTTTTCTTGTTTTCAGGTGGAGTACGCGCTGGGCGCCATCAAACTAGGGAGCACTGCGATTGGAATTCAAACAAAAGACGGAGTTGTTTTGGCCTCCGAAAGAAGAATAACTTCTTGTCTTTTAGAGCCGCAGTCAATTCAGAAAATTGCAGAGGTGGACACCCACATAGCCTGCGCCATGAGTGGCTTGATCGCAGACGCCAGGTGCGGAACTTCCCCTTTTTCTGCAAGATCAGACTTGAAAAGGAGAATATTTACCTTTTTAATTCAATAATTTCATTAAATTTTGTTTAATTCTTTCGTTCCGTGTGCTTTTGACGACAAACGGCCCCAGGGTCGTCGCCGCCCGCTGGCTGCGGCAGTTTGGCTGGTGGGTGTGAAATGGATTAACTGACTTAAGAAAAAGTATATTTAGCAATCCATGTATCTCTATTTGTTATTTTAAAGTTTCTATTTTTATTTTTCCTTCATTTTACCCGCAGAAGTTGCAGGGTGTTTCTTTACTGCTGAGTTTCTGCATTTCACTTTTTGCAATTTGTCTTGTGTCCTGTGACATCTGGGAAGGTCAGAGCCTGCATTGGCGCTATAATGCTCTTTCCTTTTCTATTCTTTTCCATTTAAAATTAACAATTTGAATTAATTTGAATTAATTTGAATTAATTCGCTGTTCAGAACCCTCATAGACCACGCGCGGGTGGAATGCGCAAACCACTTTTTCACCTTCAACGAAAAAATGAGTGTCCGGAGCTGCGTGGACGCTGTGGCGGATTTGGCTCTGGACTTTTCGGGTTAGTTTTATTTTTATTTTGATTTAATTCTTTTTATTTTGCTGCTGTTCTGCTGCTGCTTTATTTGTTTGCTGCGCCTCCTCTTGACTGTTTTTCCAAGTGCCTCAGTGGAACCATTTCATGAAGTTCAAAATAAGTTGAATTGCCTTTGAAGAGAAGCGCAGATACACATTCTGCATTTTTCTGCAAATATATATGCTTATATCAATGTTTGAAAATATATGCATGTGTATATAAATATATATATATATATTGTTGAATATATATAGACATATATATACATTTACTTCTGTATATTATTCATATTTTACGTATGTTGTGCTTTAAATCTCTATATCTATATAATATATATACATATATATACATTTCTATATATATTATATAGATATTTATATCATATATATATATATATTATATATAATTAGACTGCTAGCTTAGTGAGGGGCGTAAGCCACAAGTTGGAAATCTGAACAGTTTTTTGCAATTCAAGTGAATGTCAGTGGGTGCATTTTTGATTGTTTAATTTGTTAAATCGTTTTATTTTTGTTCAAGTGTTTTATTTTAAATTAATTATGAGTAAATTGATCTTTTTAATTTCATTTGCTGCTGCAGATGTGGGCTCTGGGCGCCGCAAGAAAACTATGAGCCGGCCTTTTGGGGTGGCGCTGATCGTCGGGGGAGTAGACAAAGAGGGTCCGGCGCTTTATAGCGCAGATCCTTCGGGTAATTTGAAGTAATATTTCATTTAATTATTTATTTTTAATTTTCAATTTATCTTCTCGTTTTACTTCGCTTTCCCTGGGTTTCGCTATGCAATTTGCTCCCGTTGCCCCCGGACTTGCACAGCAGCAGCAATCGGCACTCTGCAGCGCTGGCCGAATAAAAGGAAATATACTTCCCGTTTTTGTTCTATTTTATCTGTTTGTTTGTTTTGTTTTACTTTGATTTATTTTTCGTTTTTTTATTTCCATTTGTTTGCGCTTTCAGGCACTGTCACGAAGTACTTGGCCGTAGCAATGGGCTCAGCGCAGGAGGGCGCAGAGGCGATGCTGCAGGAGCAGTACAACGAAAACATGTCTATGGAAGGTACAACTGAATATAAAACGAAATATAATTATAAAATAAATAATAATAAATTAAATTTGAGAAGCAAATTGATGGATTCATATGCAGGCAGCAGTATACTTCGATTGCCAACTACTGGGCGGTGAACCAAAGCGAAAAATGACGGCATTCAGAAATGAACAAATGAGCGAATAGTTCACTAATAATTAAATCCGAAAAAATAGATTCAGAATTAAATATAAAGGAGACAATTTGAAATGAAAGAAATAGGTGAATCTGCAAATCCACAAAAAGAGAGAAAACAACCAAATGAGCCTGAGCCATCAAGACATCACTTCGGGTTTTGGCGGGCTCTTTAGGCAGCAAATTGAAATCTTAATGAATACTTTGTTTGTTTTTATTCTTTTCTTTTTTATTCGTTTCTTTTTTGTTCTTTTCTTTCTTCATCTTCTTTTTAATTATTGCTGCAGCTGCTGAAGATCTGGCCCTAGTGGTGCTGCGGCAGGTGATGGAGGAAAAGCTGAATTCAAGTAATGTGGAAATGGCGGCGCTGCGCGTGGGAGAGACGAAGTGGGCAGCAATTGCCGGCGATTTTTGGCCAAAATTAAATAAATAAATTAAAAATATTAAAACAAAACAAATTGGAATTTAAAAACTCGAAATAAAATGTAAAACGTAGCGGAAAGCACCAAGTTCTGCATTGCGGGCGAGCAACAGCGGTTCCGTCCGGCAGGCCGTGTCAGTGCATCGGAGTGTTTGTTTTAATTCTTTATTGTTTTAATTTGTTGTTTCATTTTCAAATTTTATTTTTAATTTGCATTATTAATTTGTTTTTCATTTTCATTTTCATTTCTTTTTGTCGCAGGTTCAAGCAGTACACCCCAGACGACCTGAAGGAAATCATTGCCCGCCTGCCCGCGCCCAGCATTCCCACTGCAACAGACCTTTCTTCTTCATCTTCTTCTTAAAAGGAATAAATAATATAATTAAAATAATATAAATATATTTAAATAATCAAAAATAAAAATAAAATGCAATTTAATTGCATGCAGTGACAGGACAAGTTGGTGGTGCCGCTGGAAGCCGGTGGGCTTGTCTGAGGGCAGGCCGGCGAGCTGCTTGAAGGCACTTGCTGCTGCAGTTGCTGCTGCTGCTGTTGCTGCAGTTGCTGCTGCAGTTGCTGCTGTTGCTGCAGTTGCTGTTGCTACTGCGGTTGATGCCGTTGCTTCTGCTGCTGCAGTGGCTGCTGTTTCAAGCACGTGATTTCACCATTGCAGCTGCCGGTCTTGCTGCTGCTACTGCAGCAGCAGCAGCTGGCTAGTGTGGTTGCTGCTGCCGCCCTGTGCCCATTGCTGCTGGCACTCCAGCAGCAGCAGCAGCAGCGCAGCAAGAACTTCTGAAAGTAAATCTCTGTCTTTCCTTTTGTGCCCACCGATGGCTATAGTTGCCGCTGGTGCAGCAGCAGCCGCAGCAGCAGCAGCAGCAGCAGCAGGCTCAGCAACAGCAGCAGCAGCAGGCTCAGCAGCAGCAGCAGCAGCAGCAACAGACTCAGCGGCAGACGCAGCAGCAGCAGCGGCCAGAGAGGCTATGAGACACAGACAGCATTAGCACACCTCCCCACTTCCACTATAGAATTCAATAATTGCAAAATTTAGAAAAATGGAATTAAAAATTGAATTTTAAAATTCGGATTAATTGCAAAAATAGAACGCAATTAAGTTTTGCTGGAAGACCAGCTGCAGCGCATTTGGACAAAAATTAAAAGGTTTTAATTTGCGGAATTTAAATAATTAAATTGCATCTGCATGCATTTAAATACCTCTCTTAAAAAATGCAAAATTGCTAAAACGCGCACGGGGAACCTCAATCCGCTCCCCTAGGGTTTAGGGTTTAGGGTTTGAGGGGTCCGCGTGGCGGACCCCTGAAACCCTAAACCCTAAACCCTAAACC